TAGGAACTTGGCCAAAATCTTGAATGATAGGTGGCAACTGATAATAATGGGGTCCTCTGCACTAGACCTTGGCCCACTTTTTGATGCTCCTGCTAATTTACACACTAAGATATATCCTAAAAACCTATTACCACATTACCTGTGTAACATACTAATTATGGAAAATCACCTAAACTCCTCAAATTCTTTTGTTGAGCACCATCAATTCCTTAAAACTATCAGACAATATATCCTTTTAAAATATATCTTGTTACCAAAACCTATTTTCAATAAATTATTAGATCCCAGGGCATGATTAGCTATCTGAGTAGAGGTGTTCAAAGTCATTAACAATTTGTGACAAAATACGGTATAGGGAAAAAGTAGGTTTACAGTTAAGTCTATGGAAAATAATACAATAATAAATAATACAAGAATAAACTTTTGCATACTCACAACTGTAAACCTACTTTTGCCCCACACTGTGTTTATTTTTTAATACTGTTTTCAAGGTAGATAAAGCTGGGGTGAACCCATAATTTGGGCCAAATATAGCTGGCAGCCTAAAAGTTTTAAAATTTCACAGTTCTGTTCCATCATAAAAAGTAGGAAAAGAGAGTTCAGTTATAGATACTTTTTCCTCTGTTGTACCTGTTTAATTCTTAACAAGTAAAAGACCAATATGCTCTAACTTAAAGCTACTAGATTTTATCTTCAAGTACACTCCCTTTTTAAAACAAAAAATACTAATGTGTATGTTGGTAGGAACTCAAGTACATTTCCTTGATATTTAATCATTTTGAAAAGCGTTGTGATGCAGCTCTGGCTCCTGGCTCAGTTGGCTGGAGCATCCTCCTGTACACGAAAAGGTTGGGGGTTTGATCCCTGGTCAGAGTGCATGCCATCAATGGATGTTTCTCCTTCTCTCCCTTCCTCTCTAAAATCAATAAAAATTAAATTTAAAAAAGCATTGTGATACAAGAAAAAGAGTGGAGTTAAATGAAAAGAGTGAGAGTTAAGAGCAGAAGGTTCTGATTCTGTCTAAACCAGCTGTGTAACCTTGGATGGAAATATGTCCAGTAGGTGTGGCTCAGTGGTTGAATGTCGACCTATGAACCAGGAGGTTGCACTTAGATTCCTGGTCAGGGCACATGCCCGGGTTGTCTGGACTGGTTGGTGTGACTCACACGGCTCCGTTCTATCCATACACTTAATTGAAACTCTGAATGTTTCAGGGTGGACGTCGTTGGATTAATTAAAAGAGAAAATTTTCCAGCATTGCACTGGTGCCTCCAACTTGCACCAAATCTGTTGAGAAGTCATTTGTTATTTTGATTCTGTTTACTTATATGTGTCCTGTTTGTTTCTCTGGAAGCTGTTAGGAGCTTATCATTATTCCCAGTATTCTGAAACTTATTGATGATGTGTCAGAGGACGGATTTTTTTTTTTTAAAGATACTACTCCTGCTCCCCTTTTTCCTGCCTTATACCCTGGCCATGTGAAAACCCGCCAGGTAAGTGCAGGGGAGCCTACACTAGAAATGATCAGATTCACCTTTTCTCCAGGCTCCGTCCTAGTCCTCAAATCAGAAACTGTTGGATGGATCTTTTTTCCTTCATTGAAGGTGTACTCTTTCAGGGGCAAATTTTTATGTCATTTGGTTCTGGGAAGTTTTTAAACATTGCTTCTTGGATGAGTTCCCTCTACTGTTATTCTGATCTCTATTTCTATTTCTGGAACTCATTAAGATACTGATATCTAGGCCTGGTTTTTTAATTTATGTTTTTGAATTGTTAAGAGTTTATTTGAGCCAAATTGTTGACAATTTCCAGAAAGCAAGATCTCAAATGCTCCCTATTTTTTATTGTCTCTATTTTCCACCTTTCTCTTCTACTTTCTTATATATATTCTCAATATTCTCTTCCAGTTCTTTCAATGATTTTTAAAAAATTTTTTCTATCATATTTTTATTTTTTAACATTTTTTCCAAACTTATTTTTACTATCCAAAAGGCCTTTTTGTATTTTAATCTCTGAATGTTTCCTTTTAAAAATAGCATTGTGCTCTTGGTCTGTAGGGCAATGGCTCCATCCTGTGTCCTGGGGATCTGGCACATAACCTGTGAGGCCTGGGCCATGCAGGCAGAGCTTGACCTCTGACCAGCCTTAGTCTTGGAGCAGCACCCTGAGGTCCTCCCAGAAACATGGCCAGAGAGGCAGTCTTATAAGGACCCATCACAACATTTTCTTGTCTGCCTTTTTTTCTTGAGAGGGACTCGCTGTCTTGCAGAGGATATCTTGAGGCAGTTTTCCCATCTGCCTCTGGTTTCTCTGAGATCTGAGACTGTCTTGCCCCACTTAGGGCACCGCTGCAGGCTATGAATTGCTTAGCTCCTCAGCAACAAACAGAGTGTCCCATCAATCCTCTTCATCTTTTACTTTGTCCTTACCCTGCACAAAGACCATGGGGACTGGGCACCTTTGACTACTCTCTTTTTCATTGTCTATGAAGTAATAAGCTGCCTGAATCACAGAGAGCTCGTTGTTTTTCTTTACCAGCTAAATCTGCCTACTTGGCCCTGGCCCTGGCCTTTTGCTTGTTAGTTTCATGGATGTAACATTTTACCTCTCTGAGGATGTTAATTTTAGTGGTTATTTTCAAGTTGTCTTCTACTTTTTGCCTTCTAGTTCCTTCAAGTTAATTTTTTTCTTGTTTCCCTCTCTATCTGATGTTTCTCAAATTCTCTTAACTCTTTGGTGATGTTTGGCTGTTTTCATATGTATGTATGTATGTATGTATGTATGTATGTATATATATGAGTAAGACACTAAAAAGCTGATTGAGAGCTCTCTTTGTGAATTAGGCTCATTAATTGGTAGAATTCACTTTTCCCTCGGGCTGGCTGAGGCTATCCACAGTTCACTCTGAAGGCTTTTTACTGGCTTCTCGTATTTTCATAGACTAACCCTGCCCTTAACTCCACGTGGTATGCCTGAGTTTATGCCTGTGGCCTTGGTGAATGAAGACCAGCTTTCATGTTTCACCCACTGTATTCTGTCTTTGGAGGAATGTGGGATCTTCGTTACTGAACCTTGCTGGGATTTGTGTTTAGAATCAAGTTGCTTCTTGGTTTCCTATAGGCCCCCTTGGGTTGAACCTTCTTCATCAATGAAGTCAATTCCCCTCAATTATTTGTGTTTCAACTGCCAAAATTTTCTTAACCAATCTGTCTATTGATCTAAATGGGTTAGTCCTTTCAATATCTATACTTGTTATTTTGGAGGACTTTGATGAGGGAACAGTGGCAAATGTTGTATTTAGTATTCTTTGTTTAAGCAGATGTTATTTGATTCCTTAACCTGTTTTTGCTTTGTCAATATTAAGAGGTGTGTTTTTTTTCTAACTCTAAATTTAATGGAGAATCTTGATCATGAATGGGAAGGTGTGAGAGAAAGATGGACAAGGATGACAGCAGGTGAGAAAGGGATACTAGCAGCAGGCAATGACACTCGGTTATGCAGGCGGTCATGTGTGTTTTTTTCACTCCAGTAACTTTTAGTAAAATACGTGTTGATGTTAGTTATTTGTTGTTTATGTTCGCAGATATGCAGTATGTTATCTGATTATATCTTTTCACATCCTTTTCCTTTTAATTTCAAGAACATTTACTTGAATTATTGTAGTATTTGTTCTTGTCTCTTGCTTTGGTTTTCTTGTAATTTACATTGGGTTTGACTATCTTCGATACTGTATATGTATGTCACTTTCTTGTGAATCTTTTTTATTCTCATTTTGAGTTTAAAATTTTTCATTTTTCACCTAATTCTCTTAAGGTACTATCTGTTGTACTAGTATTTATTCACTCTTATGTTCGTTCTATGTTAGTTTCTACTTGTGAAATGATTTTTTTTTTCTTTCTCATTCTTCCCTGAGTTATCTCATATCTAATTCCAGTTCATGTTGTTTTAAGGGTTTGTATCATTTTCTTAATAATGTTAATCTCATTTTAAAGTACAAGGTAGTAAGTAGTTTTGATATGTTCTGTGGGTCTGTCTTTCTGGTTGCTTTTATTGTCAGTCGAGATATTATTCTGCTCATTATCTTTCTCTCTTATTTATAACAATCTTGCATAGGATTTGACTTTAATACTTTTGTACCTTATTTTTATGCGAAGCCCTTTTTCTGACCTTTTAGAAGGAACCTGGTTCAGTTTGGTTTTTCTACTTTAATGCTCACTTGCCCTTTTGTACTCTAATGTTCAAAACATTGTCCTTGCTTTCTAAGTTTGCCTGACTTTCCTCCTCCCCCCACTTTTACCTGGACTTCTCTATCCTGCTTATTTTGATTCAATAACCAGTTGATTCTTCTTTGTGTGGGACTCTGTCCTGGAAGGGCCCCCTGGTTGGCCAGTTTCCGGGAGTTCTCAGCGGGTAGGCTGATCCAGCTCTTTTCAGACCTTACACCTTGCATTCACCTGCTCTGATTAGAGGCAGAGCCCCTCCCACTTTTGGTAGTCTCAGATTGGCTTGCTATCACTTCTACTAATTCTCCTAGAATCAGGCCTATTAGATGCCCAGTTGGCGGCCCTTTGGCTTCCCCTACAGTAGTGCTGATATTATGAAGATCCTATGACTTGGTGGTGGTTTCTTCTAACATGCTTATATTTGGGAGTTATGGGATATACCTATATTTTGTTTTATTTTAAGTGTTATGTTGTCCATGGGTTTTTGTTTTTCTTTCTATTGCTCTGCCTAGTTTATGTAGGGAATTGGAGAGATTAAAAAAGCCTTTGCTACCACTACCTTCCCGGGATACTCATGTGTTTTCATCTTAAAATATGTATTCAGTCTTTATTATATACAAATAATAATGTATTGTATATCAAGGAGAGCTAATTTATATGTAAATATCTTACTGAATTATTTACAAATTATTTTGTAAATATGTGTTCTTTAAATTATTTTGTAAATATGTATTCTTTAAATTATTTTGTTAATTATGACAAGACTTTCTTAAGTTTTTTTAAGTTATTTTCTTTAAATTTTAAAACCAAAGCCTGTTTATTCTACTTGGTAGGAGCAGTTGTTAGCCTGAAGGCAAAATAAGTTAATTCTGCTCCTTAATAGCAAAGGAATGTAGCATCATTAGGTATAATAGTTCATGTCAGTTTAAGGATTTTTAAAAAATCTATTAAGACTAAAACTCATTTATATAAAAAATATGGTATTATAGATTCAAAGGACCAGTATTTTAACATTATTTTAAAACTCTTTAGAAGTTTTAAAAGATTGGTTTTTTTCTTTGAACAGCTTATACTTATTGTCACTCTTCTGTTTTATTATATCTTCTCAGTCTGGAACCCATTTTCTCAAAGTCCAAAAGAGAACTGACTACATGTTTTGGTAGGTAACTGATTTTTCCCTCTAAATACATTTGAGGTAGGATTTTATTTTTATTTTTGGTTAATCCTCCCCTGAGGATATTTTTCCATTGAATTTTAGAGAGAGTGGAAGGGGAAGGGAGAGAGATATAGAGAGAAACATTTATGTGAAAGAAACGCATTGATTGGTTGCCTCCTTAACATGCCCTGACCCAGGCCAGGGATCCAGCCTGCAATCAAGGTATGTGCGCTTGACCGGAATCGAACCTGGGACCCTTCAGTCTGAGGGCCGATTCTCTATCCACTGAGCCAAACTGGCAAGGGCTGATGTAGGATTTTTAATAAGAATCTATCTTTAACCATGGCCAGTTGGCTTGGTTGGAGTGTCATCCCTTACACCAAAAAAGTTGTGGTTTTGATTCCCGGTGAGGGCACATGCCTAGGTTTTGGGTTCAATCTTGGCTTGGGGCATGGTAGGAGGCAACCTATCAATGTTTCTCTCTCACATCAATGTTCCTCTTTCTTTATCCCCCTCCCCCTTCCTCTCTCTAAAATCAGTAGGTATGTCATAGGGTGAGGCTAAAATATATTTGTTTAATTCTATCTTTAGTGTAATTAAAATCACCACCTTAATAAAAATCTGGTATTATTTCCTATCACATTTATTAGTGTTTACAAAATAAACAAAGAAAGACACAAATGAAAAACCTCTGTCTGAGATGAGATTCAGAACGTATCAGTACATACTACCACCTAAAATTTTCCCCTCTGTCCTTTGATGTAGCTGATAGCTATAAAACAACCTTTGGGGCATTAAAACACCTGTGTAATAGCTTATCTGGGGGATTTTTCTATTAGTAAACATGGCAGAAGAGAATATAATATCAAAAACACTAAGATATCAAATTAAAATCTGATTATGAAGTCCTTTGGCCTATTCATGGATATATAAACCTTCATGTTTATCTAAAAGTGTTTATTATGTTTATCTTATTTACAGCCAGATTTAAATATTAAAATACTGCATTTGTTGGGACAAGTTTCATGTTTTATAGTTCTTGCCATTCACATTAAAAATGTAAATGGAATACTTATACATTCCGAAGCCTGCAAAAAGGTTTTAGCTGCACACTAGGTTAATCGTGCTGCTGCTGTAGTCACAGGAGAAAGAACCAAAGACAATTACTATAAATACAGCAGGGAGAGGACACTGTGGAGGACACGTAATCATCCGTGCTTGTTTTTCAAATACGTATTCATACAATTGGCTATTCTGTTTTAAATATATCTTAAGATGCCATCTTTCCTCACCGAATCTGTAGATCCTTTGTCAGAAGTTAATGTGAATTTTAACCTATGGCAAAAAATCAGTCTTAAATAACTTACTCTTTTCCATGTTGAGTGAATGAATCATTCCATCCTGGTATAGAACATGGTTATGTCAACATATGACAACTGTAAGAACTCGGTTTTCATATTTCCATCTGTGTGTTAGTGTTAATTGATATCGTTAAATAGCGTGCTAGCCTTTAGTGAAGGACGGGCACTTTGCTAATAGCTTTTGGGCCCTAAAATGAATCTGTATTAGCTGCATTGATTGGGAATTCAGGAATCTTTAAATTATGGTTCTTCCTCACGTGTTTAAATGTTGTGAATTGTCGGTCTCGTTATAGCATTAAATGATTGAGGTGACATTGGTTAGTTACATTATATAAATTTCATGTATACAACTGGATTATCCAACAGCTGTATTCTCTATTGTGTGCTCGCCACCTGTAGTGCAGTCTTTTTCTGTCACCATATATTTGGTCCCCTTTATCCTTTTCATCCTCTTCCCGCTCCCTCTTCCACTCTGGTAACCACTGTTCTGCTGTCTGTCTATGAGTTTGTTTGTTCGTTTGTTGCTTTTTGTTTTATATCCCACATATGAGTGAAATCATATGGTTCTTGTTCTTTTCTGTCTGACTTATTTCACTTTTTTAGTCTGATACTGTAACAATCCATCCATGTTGTCCCAAATGGCAGTATTTCATCAATTTCTATGGCAGAGTAGTGTTCCACTGTGTGTGTGTGTGTGTGTGTGTGTGTGTGTGTGTGTGTACCACATCTTTATCCAATCATCTTTTAAAGGACACTTTGTTTATTCTATATGTTGGCTAATGTGAATAATGAATGTTGCAATGAATGTAGGAGGTACATATATCTTTACAAATAAATGTTTTCAAAATTTGGGGGTAGATATCCAGAAGAGGCAATGCTGGATCATATGGCATCTCTCTTAATTTTTTGAGGAGCACCTCCATGCTGTTTTCCATAATAGCTATGCCAGTTTACATTCCCACCAGCAGTGTGCAAGGCTTCCCTTTTCTCCACTCCTCTCCAACACTTCTGATTCTTGTCTTGGTGAGAATAGCCATTCTCACAAGTGTGAGGTGCAGTCTCATTCAGATTTGGATTTGCATTTTTCTTATAAATAGTGATGTTGAGCATCTTTCCATATATCTATTGGCCATCTTCGTTTTCCTTGGGAAAGTGTCTGTTCAGGTCCTCTGCCCATTTTTAATGAGATTTGTGTTTTCCTGTTGTGTTATATGAGTTCTTTACATATTTTGGATATTAGCTTCTTATTGGCGGTATCATTTACAAATGTATTTTCCCATTTGGTTGATTGCCTTTTGTTTTGTTGATGGAGTCTTTTGCTGTGCAGAAACTTTTTTTTTTTAAATATATTTTATTGATTTTTTACAGAGAGAAGGGGAGAGGGATAGAAAGTCAGAGACATCGATGAAAGAGAAACATCTATCAGCTGCCTCTTGCACTCCCCCTACTGGGGATGTGCCTGCAACCAAGGTACATGCCCTTGACCAGAATCGAACCTGGGACCCTTGAGTCCACAGGCTGACGCTCTATCCGCTGAGCCAAACCGGTTAGGGCTGTGCAGAAACTTTTTAGTTTGATGTAGTCCCATTTATTTATTTTTGCTTTTATTTTCCTTTCCATTGGGATCAAGTTCACTAAAACCTCTGTGAGAACAAGGTCCTTAACTTTAGTGTCTTTGTTTTCTTCTACATGTTTTTATTGTTTCAGGTCTTATTTTCAAGTCTGTAATCCATTTTGAGTTAATTTTTGTGTATGATGTCAGCAGTTTGGTTTCATTCTTTTGCATATGTTTTTCCAGCTCCATTTATTGAAAAGGCTTTCCTTCCTCCATTATATGTTTTTGGCTTTTTTGTCAAACATTAGTTGTCCATATATGTGTGAGTTTATTTCTGGGCTCTCAATTCTGTTTCATTGGTCTGTGTGTCTGTTTTTTCTGCCAATACCATACTGTTTTGATTATTGTAGCTTTGTAGTATAGTTTGAAGTCAGGGATTATGATGCTTCTGGCCTTCCCTCCCCCCCCCCCCCCCCGCCCCCCTTAGCATTGCTTTGACTATTCAAGGTCTTTCATGGTTCCATACAAATTTGAGAAATTTTTGTTCTATTTCTTTGAAAAATGCCATTGGTATTTTGATGGAGCTTGCATGAAATATGTATATTGCTTTAGGTAATATAGCTATTTTAGCAATGTTGATTCTCCCAATCCGTGAACATATACTATCTTTCCATTTATTTGTGTCTTCAATTTCTTTCAACAATGTCTTATAGTTTTCAGTGTACAGATTCTTCACTTTATTTGTTAAGTGTATTCCTAGGTATTTTGTCATTTTTGTTACAATTGTAAATAAGATTGTTCTTTTCTTTTCTGATATTTCATTGTTAGTATACAGAAATTCAGTGAGTTATCAATTGTAAGCACATATTATAAATTAGTTTTAAATTGTTTGCATTTATTAGCTGAATATTATCAGAAAATAGAGTTTTAAATGGTAGGAAAATGAGGTTTATATATAGAACTTATGGAACTACCAAATGGATAGGAAACAGGGGTGAGGCTCCCCACATGAGCTTGGTTGATATGTCTACTTTAAACCAGCCCGACCTGACCAACTTTTTTTTTTTTTTCTAAATATATTCTTATTGATTTCAGAGAGGGAGAGAGAAAGAAACATCAATGGTGAGAGAGAATCATAGGTTCGCTGCCTCCTGCACGTCCCACACTGGGGATTGAGTCTGCAACCCAGCTTGTGCCCTGACCAAGAATTGAACCTTGATCTCCTGGTTCCTAGGTCAATGCTTAACCACTGAGCAACACTGGCTGGGCCTGACCAACTTTTTTTTTAAGGCTAAAATTATCCTTTTTCCTTTTTAAAAAATATTTTTTCCCTTTATTGATTAAGATATTAGAAATGTGTCCTTATCCCCCCAATGTCCCCTCATCCCCCCAATCCTGCCCTCACCCTCACCCCCTATTGTCCACATCCATCACTTATGCTTATATGCATGCATACAAGTTCTTTGGTTGATCTCTCCCCCTCACCCCCACCCTCCCCTACCTTCCCTCTGAGTTTTGAGTATCTGATTGATGCTTCTCTGTCTCTACATCTGTTTTTGTTCATCAGTTTATGTTGTTCATTATAATCCACAAATGAGTGAGAGCATGTGATATTTATCTTTCTCTGACTGACTTATTTCACTTAGCATAATGTTCTCCATCTCCATCCATGCTGTTGCAAATGGTAGGAGTTACTTCGTTTTTATAGCAGCGTAGTATTCCATTGTGTAGATGTGCCAAAGTTTTTTAATCCATTCATCTGATGATGGACACTTAGGCTGATTCCAAATCTTAGCTATGGTGAATTGTGCTGCTATGAACATAGGGATGCATATATCCTTTCGGATTGGTGTTTCTGGTTTCTTGGGATATATTCCTAAAAGTGGGATCACTGGGTCAAATGGGGGTTCCATTTTTAGTTTTTTGAGGAAACTCCATACTGTTCTCCACAGTGGCTGCACCAGTCTGCATTCCCACCAGCAGTACATGAGGGTTCCTTTTTCTCCGCATCCTCACCAGCATTTGTCATTTGTAGATTTGTTGATGATAGCCATTCTGACAGGTGTGAGATGGTACCTCATTGTCGTTTTGATTTGCATCTCTCGGATGATTAGTGACTTTGAGCATGTTTTCATATGTCTCTCAGCCTTATGTATGTCCTCTTTCAAAAAGTGTCTATTTAGGTTCGTTGCCCATTTTTTGATTGGATTGTTTATCTTCCTTTTGTTAAGTTGTATGAGTTCCCTGTAAATGTTGGAGATTAAACCTTTATCAGAGATATCATTGGCAAATATGTTCTCCCATGCAGTGGGTTTTCTTGTTGTTTTGTTGATGGTTTCTTTTGCTGTGCAGAAGCTTTTTATTTTGATGTAGTCCCATTTGTTTATTTTCCCTTTAGTTTCCATTGCCCTAGGAGCTGTGTTGGTGAAGAAATTCCTTCGGCATATATCTGAGATTTTGCTACCTGTGGATTCCTCTAATATTTTTAAGTTTCCCATCTTACGTTTAAGTCCTTTATCCATTTTGAGTTTATTTTTGTGTATGGTGTAAGTTGGTGGTCTAGTTTCATTATTTTGCATGTGTCTGACCAAATTTCCCAGCACCATTTATTGAAGAGACTGTCTTGACTCCATTGTAAGTTCTTGCCTCCTTTGTCAAATATTAATTGAGCATAGTGTTTTGGGTCGATTTCTGGGTTCTCTATTCTATTCCATTGGTCTATATGTCTGTTCTTGTGCCAGTAGCAGGCAGTTTTGAGAACAGTGGCTTTGTAATACAGCTTGATATCTGGTATTGAGATCCCTCCTACTTTGTTCTTCTTTCTCAGGATCGCAGCAGCTATTAGGGGTTTGTTTGTTTGTTTGTTTTATTCCAGATGAATTTTTGGAGAGATCCTTCTAGGTCTGTGAAATGTGCTGTTGGTATTTTAATGGGGAGTGCATTGAATCTATAGATTGCTTTGGGTAGTATGGACATTTTGATGATGTTGATTCTTCCAATCCATGAACACAGTATGTTCTTCCATCTGTTTATGTCTTCCTCTATCTCTTTTTTCAATGTCCTCTAGTTTTCTGGGTAGAGGTCTTTTACCTCCTTAGTTAAATTTATTCCTAGGTATCTTATTTTTTTTGGTGCAATGGTAAGTGGGATTGTTTTTTTTAAATTTCTCTTTCTGTAAGTTCACTATTGGCGTATACAAATGCCATAGATTTCTTGGCGTTAATTTTGTATCCTGCTACATTGCCAAATTCATTTATTAGGTCTAATAAATTTTTGATGGAGTCTTTAGGGTTTTCTAAGTACAGTATCATGTCATCTGAGAATAATGACAATTTTACTTCTTCTTTTCCAATTTGGATGCCTTTTATTTCTTCTTCTTGTCTGATGGCTTTGGCTAGCATTTCCAGTACTATGTCGAACAGGAATGGTGAAAGTGGGCATCCCTGTCTTGTTCCTGTTCTTAGGGGAAATGGTTTTAGTTTTTGCTCATTGAATATGATGTTGGTTGTGGGTTTGTCATATATGGCTTTTATTATGTTGAGGTATGATCCCTCTATTCCCACTCTGCTGAGAGTTTTTATCAAGAAAGGATGTTGGACTTTGTCAAATGCTTATTCTGCATCAATCAATGTGACCAACTTTTTTAGTAAATCTTTTTGGTCTTTTTTTCCCTTTCTTCTTCCACCTCACTATTAACTCTTTCTTTTGCTCTTCTTCTATTTTCCTGTCCTGCACTTTCTTCCCTAACCGATTATTATTTGAGATAAAGTTTTTTATTCTTTGTTGTATTCTGAACCTGTACACTTAAAAATTTTTTTAAATGTCAAAAGTACGTTGTTTAAAAACCTGTTTTTCATTTTTAGTGTAGATAACTGAAAATTTATAATAGTAAACCAGGGAAATAGAATTTCTGATTGAAGGGGCTATTAAAGGTCTAGTTCAAAATGCCAACATGTTTATTGCATATGACTTTGCAAAAAATTTATTATTGAATTAGTATTTTTCATTACAAGAAAAGATTAAAGTTTTATATTATGCCACCTCCTTTCATCATTCCCCATAGTAATTGCACATTCCACTCAAATATGAATTCTCTTCCTCTAGATGATTTGGAGTTCAGAGGTTTTTTTAAAAAAAGCTTTGTTTCCTAATTCCTAATATTTTTCTTTCTCATTTGCAGCATTATACGTGTATTGCAGATAACTTGGACAAAAGAGGAGGTATAGAGAAGAATTCCAGTATGTAGATTTAACTTCTAATTTTCTTTCCTTTTTTCTAATACTTATTATCTGTTGATAAATTAGGAGTACACACAGGCGTATGCACCCGGGTGCGTGTACACACACACACACACACACACACACGAGATACTCAGTGTTGGCAAGACTATAAAGAGGAGAAAGGTACAAAGCAAACAATTGCGGAGGAAAAGCATTTGCACAAATATGAAAACCATTGGTTGATGTATTTATGATATCACAATCTAGTATGTATAATCAAGAAATTATAAAGTGTCAGTATCTTAGAATTGTGTATGAACTGTGGTCGCTGATTACTTAAGCTCAGAGGATGCGGAGTGGTGGGAGATGTGCGGAGGAGGCACCGCCAATAGGGAGAAATGACAGCTTGCGGGAGAGAAGTGATAGTGGCGAGGTCCTTAGAGACTGTTCAGTGCAGAGGCAAATAGTATCACAACAGGAGTTTTGTTTGCTCCAAGTTCGACACTTCAGTATGGTAATTGATGTGTCTAATGAGCCAGTCTGCAAGTAACACGTGCAATTGTGTGCAAAGACATTTTATTGTAAAATGTGTAAAAAAAAAAGTTGTTTTGGTGTGAGGCGGGTAGGCGGCTTCTTTTCTTGAGTTACTGAATAAACGAGGCACCATCTTCAGATATTTGAACATGTCTGTGATATGCACTTACATTTTATTTGAGTCCTAGTTGCAGTCAAACTCTTTGTTTGCTGGAACAATAGAATAAAGGAAATGGACCTGTGCACTCTATGGTAGATGGATGGCCACTTAATGTTATTCGAAGCATACGATATGTTTATCACTGAGAGCTGAAATTAGCCCTAAACTAGTGGGCTGTGTTTGACATTTTAAAGGTATAAACTCAGTGAGAAATCGAATTAAGGAGAGCAGGCTTTTATGCTTGGCAGGTCTAGGTGGCGCATTTACTTGACATATGTTGCTTATATTACTCTCTTGGCAGATTCTCCAAATATCGTGTTGTTTTTTTTTTATGGCAATACTTTTATATGAACAAGTTTTTTTGTTTTTGTTTTTTTTAAGGTTGACTGCAGTTAACCTTAAGGTTGACTGTAGTACGGTCAAAACAAAACATATACTCTGTATATGACAAATGTTAGTATTATAACTTATCTGAAACGGTTCAGTTGCACTGCAGTCAAGAAATGGAACTTTTTGTTCACCATGAGTTTGCCGCCTCTAGCTTCCTCACAATTCAGTGCAGTGTTGCAATCAATGAACACTTTTCTGAGTGCCCTGTTTGAAATGTTTGTGTTTCTATGATCTTTGGAGGAGAGCTCCCAAATTATATTTCCATATCTAGTCCCTGTAAGCATTTAAATTTGACTTATCAAAGCAATGAATAATCTTTCATTTGTGGCAGAATGTTTAATAAACAGCACCGAAGTGACATCATGGAAACACAAGAAGCTTAAGATGTTCTGTTAATGTTTTAAATCTGTATCTTTTTTTTAATTTAAGATGGGGGGTAGGAAAGAAAAGAGAACTTCAGATTTTTATGTTTAATCGAACAAACAGCATGTGCTGACAAGTAATAAATAACAGCAGTCCGAAGTGACTAAATAAATTGCTTTCCACAAGCAATGATTCATCTTCTGTCTTTCATTGCCATCAGGCTAGGAGACAGCTTCTTTTTGTCAGCTTATAGGGAAAAATTTGATAGTATAACACTCCTGTTTCTGTTCCCGCAATAGAAGCTCATTATCTTCTATAGTAGCTGCATTTTAAAATATTTAAATACAATAATTAAGTCTCATTTGGTTGTTCATTTACCTAAAACTTTGTGAAGCTCTAATTGCTCAGTCTTTTTGGTGTTTTGCAATATTCTGGTAAAATCACTCCCCCTAATTTTTTCATCTTGGTAAACACTTCTTGAACACTTATATAGAATGCATACTCTGCTGTTGTCCGGTGTTCTATAAATGTCAGTCAGGTCAGGTTGCTCAATGGTGTTGTTCAAATCTTCTATATTCTGACTGATTTTCTGCCTATATTTCTTTACTTACTGAGAGAGGGTATATCGTTTTTGCAGCATAACAAATTACCAAAAATTGGGCTTAAGACAGCACACATTTATTATCTCACAGTTTCCATGAGTCAGGAACCTGGGGAAGATGTAGCCGGTCCTTTGCTCAGGGTCGCAGAAGAATGCAATCAAGGTGTCAGCTGGGGCTGTGGTCTCCTCTGAGGCTTGGCAGCCTTCCAAGCCCAACCAGGTGGTTGTTGGCAAAATTCACTTCCATGCAGCTGTAGAACCCGTGGAAGCCTGGTTTTCCAAAGAGTCTCTGACTTCTTCCATCTTTAACCTCCAGATCCTGTGTTGAAGGGCCCACCTGATTAGGTCAGACCTGCTCAGGATAATTCTCTTAATTAACTCAACTGACAAGTGATCTCATTGGTGCAAAACCCTTCATTTTTGCCATATAACATAATGTAACAACAGGAATGAAATATCATATATTCCAGTCTTGTCTAGGAATTATACAGGGCATCAATAGCAAGGTTGAGAATTTTGGGGGTGCTCTTAAAATTCTGGCAACCACATAGGAATATTAAAATCTCCAACAATAATTTGTGAATTTGTTTATTTCCCCTTGTCATGCTGTCATTTTTGCTTCAAGTATTTTGAAACTTGTTACTAGGTGCATTGATGTCTAGGATTATTACATCTTCTTTAAAAATTGATCTCTTTATCATAATGAAATAACAGTATTTTCCCCAGTAATGCCCTTTGCTTTGAAATCTTTCTTTTTCCTGTTTGTAATATAACAACTTCTGCTTTCTGATTTTCTTCTTACTTTTAATCCTCACCCAAGGATCTGTTTTTCATTGATTCTAGAGTGAGAAAGAAAGGGAGAGGGAGAAAGAGAAACATCGATCAGTTGCCGCCCGTATGCACTCTGACTGGGGATGGAACATGAAACCTGGGTATGTGGCCAGGCAGGAATTGAGCCCTCAGTCTTTCAGTGCACAGGATGATGCCCTACAACTGGGCCTCGCCGGCCAGGGCCACTTCTGCTTGGAATATTAATGTTGATTGCATGTAACATTATTATATTTAAAATTGCTTTTCTTGAAAAAAATGTTGAAAAAAATATTTTGATTAGTGTTAGTAGGGTATATCTTTTCCAATCTTTTCATCTATTTGTGTCTTAAGATTTAAGTTATGTTTCTTGTAGGCAGAAGATGGCCAGGTCTTCCTTTTCTATTCACTTTTACAATCTTGACCTTTTATTTATTTGTTAGATTTTCTTTACAGTGTATTTGTACGTAGCATAGCATTTGTAACACTGTCTCTCACCTTTTATATACCTTTTGCAATGTATTTCTATCATTTATTTTGACAGCTTTGTTGATATGTAATTTATAGACCTTAAAGTTCACCCTTTTAAAGTATACAGTTCAGAGGTTTTTATAGAGTTGCACATCCACCAACACTATCTGATTCCAGAACATTTTCATCACCCCCAAAAGAAACTTCATACCCATTAGCAGTCACTCCCCAGGCCCACCTTCCCCTGGTAACCACTGATATACTCTCAGTCTATGAATTTGCCTACTCTGGATATTTCATATAAATGGAATCATACAAGACATGGCTGTTTGTATCTGTCTTTTAAATATTTTATTGATTTTTTACAGAGAGGAAGGGTGAGGGATAGAGAGTTAGAAACATTGATGAGAGAGAAACATCGATCAGCTGCCTCCTGCACACTCCCTACTGGGGATGTGCCTGCAATCAAGGTACATGCCCTTGACCGGAATCGAACCTGGGACCCTTGAGTCCACAGGCTGACGCTCTATCCACTGAGCCAAACCAGTTAGGGCTGTCTTTTTTGTTTTTAAGGTTCATCCATGTTGTAGCATATGTCAGTACTTCATTCTTTTTTATGGCCAAATAATTTTCCATTGTGTGGATACATCACATTTTGTTTATCCATTCATTGGTTGACTATTGGGTTATTTCCATTTTTGGGCTACTGTGAATAATGCTGCTATGAACATTCACACACAGGTTTTTGAATGGACACCCACTTTCATTTCTCTGACAGTGGAATTGCTAGGTATATGTTTAGCTTTTTGATGAACTTACAGACTTTCCAAAATTACCGTATCGTTTGGCATTTCTACCAGCAATGTATCAGGGTTCCAATTTCCTTGCCATCATTTGTTATTGTTTGTCTTTTTTCTTTCAGTATTTTATTTTATTCTTTTAATCCTCACTTGAGGATATTTTTACATTGATTTTTAGAGAGAGTGGAAAAGAGAGGGAAAGACAGAGAAACATCGATGTGAGAGAACACATCGATTGGTTGCCTCCTGCACACACCCTGACCAGGGCCCGGGCCAGAAAGGAGCCTGCAACCCAACCAAGATATGTGCCCTCGACTGGAATAGAACCCGGGACCCTTCAGTCTGCAGGCCGATGCTCTATCCACTGAGCCAAACTGGCTAGGGCTCTTTCAGCATTTAAACATGTTGCTTCCCTGGGTTCTCACTGGCTTGTTTCCGGTGAGAAATCTCCTGTCATCATTGTCCCTCTGCACATAACGTCTTTCTCCGACTGCTCTTACAGTTTTCCTTATTATTGATTTTGAGCAATTTGATTAATATGTGATTTTGTTTCTAGTTTTCTTTATGTTTCTTGTGCTTCGGGATTCATTGGTATTTTGGATTTGTAAGTTTATTATTTTTATCAAATCTGGGAAATTTTAAGTGATAATTTTTTCAAATATTTATTATTGCTCCTTTTTTTCTTTTGGAGACTCCACTGATGCATGTATAATAGTGTACTTCAAATTTTTAATCAAAGCTCACTGATGCTCTGCTCATTTTTTAAAATTCTCTTTTCTCTCTGTCTTTCAAACTCACCAGTCTTTTATTCTGCAATATCTAACCTGCTGTTAACATCATATGATACATTTTTTATATTAAACATTGTAATTTTCAATTTAAGAAGTTGAAT